CTCCGCATACAGTGATAATGCTACATTGCTGACGCTGCTTTGATGACACTCCGTTAGTGACGCTGTTGTGTAAATGAGCACGCATATTCGTCGCACGCAACCACTGTATGCAGAGATCACCACATGTATTTAGTATACCATATGATACTTCCAATGCTTGGGTCCACCCTGTTTCAGTATCTGAACCGCAATTTGGAGACATTAATAAATATTTCAATATTCACAGTGAAAAATGTTTTTTTTTTCATCTTAAATTTTGTTATCACCTTCTCCTAGAAATCTAACCCCTTGATGTGAAAAATACACTCACTTGATGTGAAAAGTTCTGTAGATCAGTATAATGATACGCACTGTATGTGTCCAGTGAACATTACATTTTTGCGACATGTTGTGCTCACTCTCTCGCGAAATATCGTAGAGCTGATATAGAAGAAATTGTATAGTCGAGGCTCAACTGAATAAGTACATGGATAGATACTTATTGTGGTTCCCATTGAGTGTGTTGAATCTAACTTCAATTTGAACTTATTTAGTGTAGCTCAAGACTCTTGGAAACGATTGATTCGCGAGCATTTGAGAAAATGCTTCACATTTTGTTGGTATTCATGCAACTATGAAAATAATGTGTCTAACAATACACAATTACTATAATACAGTAACAAAATAAATAAAGACATCACATGCATTTAGTACACTCTGTTTGTGTATATGCAATGTGATTATCTATTGAATTTTCCAGCCCTAACAATGGCATGCTAACAATGAGAATATGGCGCGCAGAGAATAGAATAAAAAAAAAAACAAAAAGTACTGACGATTTATAGGTGAAAAACGTCGTGCAATAAATTCTAATCTATGGTTGCTCTCTTGGATCTATATTCAGTGAAGTTTTGATGCGAACACACACAGTATGTGTGTTGGTGTCAGGCGCACGCAAAATATCATTTCTCGTGGCCCCCTTCACGACTTTGTCATTTCTTTGCTCTTTTTTCTCTCTCTTCTTTAACACTTTTATTATCATTTTGGCTGGCATTGTCATCGTTGCAAATGGCAAACATTTCATTCTACATCTGAAAAATGGTTCTTTTGTGCGTTTTTTTTAGTGTGTGGCAAATGATGCCTTTATTTCGGTGTGCGTAATAAAGTGACATTGGATGTAGGCTAAATTGTAGCACACGCAAACTTGGTAAGCATAAAAGCGAACAGTATTTACCTCAATAATATGAAAAGCCTGAAAAGGTGCATTGCGCGCACAACAGCTTTTTGTCGATTGTGCTTAAGATTGGACTAATGTGTCAACTAAACGTATAAATATCATCACACACACAATGAGACAATTTGGATAAATTTTTATCCTGGGGTGATTTAATTTTGTGTTGAGCGTTCGTTTTCGATCTTTTTAGACCGAATCGTTAGGTGCTTATACATTTGGTGTGCTTGTACACTAAACTATACCGCAGATGGTGTTCGCTCAGAAAAATACGGCCAAGATACGAAAGAAGAAGAAAAAAAAAACGATGTGAAAAGCTGTGTGGTAAATAAGCAAGAGACGGCTGCATTGCATTCGAATGTCGAGAATTCACGAAGAGAAGAATATATTTAAAATAAAAAAAGAACACAAACAAGAAAACATGCAAATCAATTCTACTTTTTCCACTGATTATTATCCTTTGAATTCATTCGCGTTTTCTCTCGGTCGTTAATTTGCCTGGTGCACCTACTGGCAATCCAGTAGGCAATCCATTCTGACAATAATACTGCAGGCAAATGTGTGAAATAAATGAAATTTAAAAATAAAATGCCGACACAACAACAATGAACCAGTGTTGAGTTCTTTCGCTCATGTTGCGGAGAGAGGAACGGAAACTTGAACGCCATTCAAAAAGCTCAAAGGAAGAAAAATTGAACGAAAATAATAAATACAGAAGTTTAAACATTGGTTAGACACAGATGTTCAATGCCATTTCTCAAAGGTATAATAATATTTTTGGGTTGCCGCTATGAATTTTGGTTGTTGTTGCAAAACGAAAATACATTCGAATCATTCAGCCATAAAGTTCGAACAAAAAGACAAAATATGAAAAACAAAAATGAGACACAAAAAAATAGAGAGTGAAACACAGAGGGAAAATGAATGAATGCGAAAAGCGAACATTTACACACACATTTTGAATAATTTCCTATCGTATTTTCAGGCGAATGCACGGTAAATTTGGGTTTTTTTATGTGCCCATTGAGCTTTCAAAAGTGACGTTCCATTTATACGAAGCGTCAACAATTATGCGTTTCTATAAATGGAACGTATTATGCGAGCAATACCAAATTAACGAGCAATCGTGTGCGCGCGAGCGTTCACATTGCAAAAGGTTTGCTGTGCAAAAACAATATGAAATATTAATCGATTGAAATGCGTCGTGGTTCAAGGCAAAAGTCATTACAAGATCGAGATTTATGATTACAAATGATAAGAATCAAAGTCATCTTTGGGGGGGGACTCAGTAGCGGGTTTATGAGTGTAAATCCAATGCATAAGTAAAACGTGTGTGACGTGAATGTGTTTCGTATAAATTTAGTATGTGTGCAAAATGATTTGCGCGCCAATTGAATGTAAATGCGTTTGCTCACACATAAATATTCTCACTTTGCTTTTCGGGCATAACAAAATGCAACTTTTAGTGTTCGATTGATTATCGAAGCCTAAGTGTTTTTATTCTCAAATGCACATTATTCGGCTGCGAGACGAGTTCAAAGCTCTTTAATTGAATTCGCTTTTCCAACTCTGCGATTCATTATTTATTGGTCGTTTTTCTCTTTTTTTGTTGTATTTCTTGTGGCTGGCCGCGACTGTGAATGTTTCCATTTCTTCCATGTTTGTTTGGTGAACACTTTTGCTCATGAATTGAATGAGAACAACGCTTGAGAGATGAACAGAGAGCAAAGAGATAGAAAGAGAGCGAGAGGGAAGGGGCATTAAAACGATGTGTAATATATTTTTCTCATGCGATGTAGAGTACATAAATGCATAAAGCTTTCGAAGAAGATTGAGTTGTCTTTTGATTGATTTGTAAGCGATGGCAAAAGATATCTATCAAACGATATGATAAAGATTGTTTGTGTGGCGAGATTGTTGGGCACTTTTTTATATCAGACAGTTGAGTTGTGTTGTGTTGAATGGTATGAACATTTATCACAGTTGAAAAAAAAAATGAAAAGATGACGGGAAGTGTTAAAAGAAGTTGATGGCAATATCGAGCGGGGTTCTCTTGAACTATTTCGATTCATTCGACTGAAATTGAAATGGTGGCTTTATTTAATATAGCTTCAGTTTGTTGTTTTACAATTTCATAATATGATATTATTATGAGAGTGAACTATATTTTGATTTAATTATTTATTTAGGTGGCTTTTAGCTTATGTATTTGGGCTAATTCAGAAGGTTACGCTAACCATCTTCGTCTCGGCACAACGATTTATGATTCACTTCATAACCTTTCATCACATAGATAGCCCTTGAAATGAATAATGCGTTTTCATGTGTCACAGAGTTTTTTTTGTTTTTTTTTTCGGTTGCTACTTGCGACTTTAACCGCTGATATTCATGCATATTTCAATGACAAAACCCACCAACATTGACACTGACGTTGGAGAAATACTTTCTCATTCTCTCCGAGAGAAAATGAAAACCATTACAAGGAGACTGCTATAACAGATATGCAATCTATTCATCTAATGGCAATCAACAATGCCATTTTCTGCACGCTCACATACATAAACACACACAAACACATGTACACACACACTGAGTGAAATCATAAAATAGTTTACGACACTGTTATGAACTGCAATCAGACTCCTGGCTCTATTAACATTGATAAATCGAATTTTGTTCCCTTTCATTTGTTAATATTTTTTAGCAAACGAAAGAACGAAGAAAAAAAAACAAAGATAACATTCGTTTTTCTCTAGTCATTTCATGTGATGCATATGCAATTGCTTTATCCCATCTCGATAATCATATTTTATTCCGTTTTATTATTATTATTATTTTTATTTTCCTTCAACTTAGTGACAATACAAAAATCGCTTGACCTTTTGCATTAAGAGCAAACGTCATTTAGTTATATATAAACTTTTGTTTCTTTCTCTCTCTGAATTAGATCCACTTCAATTTATCATAACAGCTATTTTATGTAACAGTAATAGTGAGAAATCGATGTTGAGCAAACGTTTTCGTACGAAATAGTTTTTTTTAGAAATAATAATATAGAATAGATATGATTTTATTTGGCTCGTCGTTGATCAGCAGTAATTCGACAGATTTACATTTAATCATCTCTAATTGTCTGATCGACGACTAGTTAATTGTTCATTCTAGCCAAAGTGTTTTATATCCTTCGAATGAAATTAAATAATGCTTTTCACTCTTTCATTAGTATCATTAGATGTTTGTCTTTAAGTTTTAATTCAATTATAACAAAAGTCTTCTTTAGATTAAAAAAAAAAATTATAAACATGTTTTTTGCGCTCTGATTTGTTACCATTGACATTATCAGAAATTATTATTTTTTAAATCTCACCAAAGCTGTAAGCTTTCAAACGCTCGCGCATCGTGAGTAAAAAATGATGAGATATTTTCATGTAATTGGAGAAAGCAATTTGTGTAACGCGCGCGCTCATTCACCCCTCTTGCCGCCTGATGACGCTGCATATAGCACATCAAAGCGTATTGCCAAATATACACACTGCTGACCTTCACACAGCTTTCAACACATTAAAAACAAGTTTAATATTATTTGTGTTTGTAATGCTATACACAATTTCGCTATAGAATACATATATAGAGCTGCATAAATAGAGAATAGATAGATAGCTAGATAGTTTTAACGAGTTCTACATATACTTTGTTCTTGTTCTTCTTCTTGTTCTTATTCTTCATCACAAACAAATTTATATGAATATAAATTTATCTGTGTGCTACTATTCAATACCGCAATTTCTAGACCATAAATCTGGTGGAGCAAAATTTGTATCGACTACGACTACGATACATAGACGTGGTGCTATATGCATTATAGTTAATAATCCAGACGAGGATAGCCAATGTTCTGACAATAACAATGTTGACAATGACGGTGAAAACAATTCAGATGACTTTGATGTTGGCAAAGTATCGGACGAATGCAGCGATGCAACCAATATTTGCGTTCAAGTACAACCAACGAAATTACAATTTTGGCACAAACTGTTGATGCCAACGACAAAAACAACAACGACCACAACACAGCAACATCAACGACGCAAAAGCAAAAAAAAATCAAGAAAAATGTCCAAAGGCAAGCAGTACAAGTGCCACAACAATCCGAAGACTTCTCGAAAAAGCAATAATAAAAACGGTAAATTTTCACCACCAGATTCATTGATTCTTTTCATTTTCGTCAAAATAGTCGTGACATTCACAATCAAACAAAAAAATAATAATAACAAGAAACACTTCGGAAAGGTTAGTCCAACAACAACAAAACTCTCTTTCTACTCCTATATCGTTTTTTACTTCATTTTCTATTTCTCTTATTCATTCAACTTTTTGAAATTCAACAAATTTTGCATTCGAACTCATGTTAGGTTTTCTTTTCATTATGATTCTGTTTTTCTTTCTTTTCGTCTCAATATGGATATTTTTTTTTTTGCTCCGTTTTGGCATACAACGACATTTTTTGATGCAAACGTACATTCAATTCGATTAGACATAATGTGCACTATAGTGAGACCTGCTCACAGCAAAATAAAATGATTAGAAAAGAAAAAGCTAGCATAAAATCAACTGGATCGTCATGCAGACGGTGAAATGGTGATGAATGCTGCATCAATTGTGGCATTGAAATTTATATCGAAAACCATTACACCTCCTCTTCTATTGTGCATGCACACCAGAAAGGGGGAGAAAGGGAGTGAGGTAAGCAAGACAGAGTAAATACATTGACTGGTTATAAGACTGGTTGTCAATATTACCAAAAACCAATGTAAATATTTCAGTCCTTGTTTTGATTATTGAACCGAAACGAAAACCTTCAGACAATTGTCACCTTAAACTTCTGAACACATGTTCAGTCCATAGCACATGGCCATGTCATCGATGAAACTTCGAAAAGGATATACAAACAACAAACAAGAGGAGACAATATGAGATCGAATGGAGAATTTCAAAGTTTGGCAAGTGCTCCAGTTTAGTTTTCATGAACATATAAATATTTGCATTACGCAGCGAATGAAATTCAATTCATGATTAAATTAATAAAAACGCCCCAAAAATAAGGTATTAGAAACCAAATCTAATGTATTATCTCCAGCTTGCATCGGATATATTCATTGAGTGATTCCGTGTTGTACCGCAAATCATTATATCAACGTAGAAATTACGCTCATACAATTTGCTTTAATTAATAAAAAAGAAAAGAAAACATGAACAAAACAATTCACAGACGATTGACAATTGTCTAACGACATTCTCAGTTGATGTTTTATTATTTGTTAACGCTATATTTGTGTACCTAATCAAATATTTAAGCTTTCCATATACGGCATAGTTTGTGTGGCATTCTTTTTTCGTCAACGTGTACATAAGTATCTTTTAAATGCCATTATCGTTGGTGACTGATGCATGTCATGTGCAATACATTATTTAATGCAAACCATTCGGCAATGTTTAATTGTCGTGCTTTACGGATTAATAGTTAACAATATTGGGATATGGGTTTCGTGCAACTGCGACTATTCATCCATGCAATGTACATATTTACATGATAGAATATTTCATATGGAATGTTTACTTGGTATGTGATCGGTAAATGAAAATGTAGCTGCTGATACAAATATTCACACAAACACACACACAGACACGATATATGCTTTTATGTCATTATTTCATCATCATATTGTGTCGATCTGACGTCGAATGATTGACACCGAAGAAGCCATATTTCAACAATGGAATTCATTCATGTCAAATACAAATTTTGACATAATTTTGTAAAAAGTTTTCGTGGCTTCTTCGTCTTTGTTTCTTATTTATTTTTTGTTTTGTTGCTAGTTGATATCAAAACAAATCAAAAGAAACTTAACGAAAAAGCGCCACTGTTTTGCACATCACATGTGGCACATCCACACGGAAAATGAATTATTCTGCGAAAGAAAAAGTGAAAGGCAGAAGTAACTGTAACTGAAAATCGATAAACCATTATAATGGAACGAGGACTTTGGAACAAACTCGGAATAAAAGTCGGCGCACAAAATATATCCATACATGTATCCATCGTTCATAAAATCGAAAGAAGAACAAAAACCCTCACATATACAAATTCAAACAAAAACATGCATTGTTTGGTGGTCGTTAGTGGGTAAGCGGCAAAGAAAGAAAGAATAAAAAAAGAAATGCTTATGCATTATCAATATCATATATGATAGTTTATAGATTTCGTGCGTCGCTCACGACTACATATTTGATTTCATAATGATTGAATACCTTCAATGTTTTGGCGTAACCAATTTTCGTTTATCACTTTTCGACCCTTTCTCTCGACAGCCTCGCCACTACATTTTCCACCTTCACAATTTTATATTCATTTATTCATTCGTTCGTCCAGTCAGTCGGTCGCTCGTTGGCGCGTTTTATCGATATTCGATTTCCGTATTTCCGCATTTTCTGGAATCAACCATATCAACCGAAGAAACGAGAAAGAACAAGAGAAATGAAAAACAAAAAATATGAATGTGTGTTGGCGGAGCACAAATTGAATTTTGGATTAATTATTAACAAACAGACGGCATTGGATTGGTCGTGCACACTAAAAGAATAATCGATGCAATTTATACTGCTCACATGTGAATTCATCATATGTAAAATGTTAAATGATGAAAACAATCCATTTATGTGTACTGCATGCACGATAATTGCACACAGAAACGGCGAACGAATTTGTGTGTGTGTGTGTGTGTGTTTGTGCCTAAGCTAACACTACAACTGCACATTTACGATAACATATGGATAGATGGAAAGTTCAAGGCGCAGACACTATTTGCGAGAGAAAAATTTCAATTGTCCCTCAGACTTCTTTCGATCATTTTGTTGCTGGTTTTCTTTTACTCATTGCCGTTTTCTTAAATCTCTCAACCATCGCATTGTTGGCACAATGCACGATTTTTCCTTTTGTTTTCTAACTTATCAAATAAACGCATTAAATGGCAACATTATTTTTGTTACATTCGTTCGACGCAACGGGAATTGCCATCCAGCACACAAATACCTATATTATAGATATATAGTATGAATATGCCGTGAAACATGTAGACGAGATGACTTTTCGTTTGGATGCCACGTATTCAGTTTAATCGGAACAACCATAATACTTGACTGTGTGAACATTTTACACAACAATTATTTTCGAATTGAAATGGTTTTTATAAGCTCGCTTTGGGAAGATTTTGCATCAGTAAAAGTTTTTCCACATCCATTCTTCCTGCATAAAATCGGTACGCGTAAGTACGAAAATTTAAATTTATGTATTGAGTGAGTTTAAAACCGCTTAGTTTCTTTCCATATAAATGGTCGCAGACACAGCATTCGACATTCCGAACAGTTTTCAGCTAAGTTTTCAGCAATGTGATTCTATTGTGTATCGTACAATAGACGATAGCAAATTTGAAGACTTTTCAAAACTTAATTTGATGCAGTAATTTGCACAATGAGAAACGTCTGAATAGACCACCAAAACAGCTTTAATAATTAAAACAAATATTCAAGAAAGCAAAAACATTGACAGCATAACCAACTATAAATGTATAAAATTTGTACACAATGAAGAATCAATAAATCTACAGTACGCCAACAGAATGAACTAAATGGGCATGTGTACAAATTGATGAATAGTATCTACATTCCACATGAATTCGTCGTATACTTAGAGAAAAGTCATCATGCGGAGATTTATCGCACACAAAAGCTTTTGATGTACAGAAAATAACTTCAATCATACAGCACACGAGAAAAAATGGACAATTTCTCTCTCTCTCTCTCTCTCTCTCTGCATTCATTTTTCAAAGTAATGCCATAGCCACTCTCCTCAACTTACAATTTCATACTAAAATATTTCTATTGAATTTCACTAATGCAAATCAAATAGTAACGCTTATTCATTGTATGAATTGTATGTTTGATTTTATATCAGAAACTTCGTCTACACTTTTCGAATAAATATCCATGAATTTCATTTTCCATCGAAATATAAAAAAAAACATACATACAAAAACGAAAGATTCGGGATCCCTTGCCAATAAAAAATTACATAACATATCTATTTGGACCATGTTTAAAAGTACACCATGTACACTGTACAGTAGGGTGTTTCCACATGAAAAATATTAAAAAGTGGCTATTATCATTTTGAAGAGCGTAAAATTCTGTATAAGATGATTTGATTTTTGATACTGATTGGTTGCCGATGTCACTTCCTGGACTAAAAACACATTTGTAAATTGATTTCATGTCGCATTCACGCCAAAATCTGTAATTGATGAAAATATAAGATTGAACAAAATTAAAAACATGAAAAATAATTTTAATATCAAAATAATTGCCTAAATATTAATAAAAGTAACACAAAAACTAACAATTTTACCACAATAAACCAAAACAATGCAAATTCGCCAATTCATTTGACAGAATGACATTTGAAGCGTGATTCGCTCACGCATGACAAATGACAGGTTATGTGTCAAATGAATTGGCGATTTTGCATTGTTTTGGTTTATTGTGGTAAAATTGTTAGTTTTTGTGTTACTTTTTAAATATTTAAGCAATAATATTGATATTAAAATTATTTTTCATGTTTTTAATTTTGTTCAATCTTAAAATTTCATTCATTACAGATTCTGGCGTGAATGCGACATGAAATCAATTTACAAATGTGTTTTTGGTCCAGGAAGTGACATCGGCGACCAATCAGCATCGAAAATCAAATGATCTTATACAGAATTTTACGCTCTTCAAAATGATGCTAGCCACTTTTTAATATTTTCCATGTGGAAACACCCTACTGTACAGCCATGTCAAAAAATAAACTCTGTTTCATTCGCATCTCACCAAGACTAAGCAATTTGATCTCATCGCATGTTGATTCACTGTGTAGCGCAGAGAGCATCAAATGAATTTTGGCAATAAAAGAACACAAGAGCGAGAGATACCCTGACATTCATTTCCATTTTAAACAAATCGAACCGGAAGACATGGTGCTTAAACAATGTCGTTTCAATCGGAATTCAATGCTAAATCTTCTTAATTTAATACACTGTGGCTGATTGGAATAAATATAGCACAAGCTACAACAAGTGAAATGGTATA